ATCAGACTCACTTTTTGCAATGATTCTTACAACTTACATTTTGGCTGAACCAAACTTCTGATACATATCTCTAGGATTATGACCGTTCTATTTTCTTGCATATCATCACCTATTCTCCTTTATCTCATTTTTGTTGGCAAAATTCTACTCATATTTCAAGGTAATTCCATTTATATTTCCAATTTTTAGTCTTTCTCAAGTCCCTCAGGCAGAATTAGGTGTTTCTTCTTCTATCTTAGCTTGTCATCTTGAAATTACCTTCATTACAACAATGATCACTTCATATTCTATTTGCCATTTTGCCAGTAAGATTCTCAACCAATCTGTGTTCCTCGAGGGCAGGAATCATTTTCTATTTACTGTTATACACCCAGAAGCTTAGGGAACCATTTCAATGATACGATTTGTCATTCCCATCCTCACTAATACTTCTGCTGTGTGCCTCTCCATCAAAGAGAAGTAATTTATTTTTTCTTCTTTGACATTTGACCAAAATGCATTATCTCCACTAAATTTTTCCTGATTACACTTGTTTCACCCTAATCACACCTGCATTTTATCATGTCTTCAGTGCTTATAGAGGGCTCCTCCAACAAACATGTTTGTACTTGAATTGTTTACATTCCATTCCTTCTTCTAGCTCAATCTTCCTAAAACATTTAGGGATCATCTCCTAAAAACATTTATAGCAGTGCTTTTTAAATTACTTGCTTTTCAAAGACCTGTTTTGGGGCTTGAAGAAGAGGTCAAACTGCTAGTACATAGGCCCCAAGATTTTTGCTCTTCCCAAACCTAATACCCTTCCAGGGAGCAATAGCATCAGAAAAGGGAAAGGAACAAGCCACCTAAAATGTGAACTCCAAAGAGAAATATTTCTAAAAGTGATTGAAGCTGAGACCCAGTGCTAGGTAGAAAGCTGAAATTCCCCAAATTAAGGGAAACCTCTCTCTCTTCTCTTTTAACTCATCTTCTTTCTTTCTTCTTTGTCCTAAGCCTGAAAAAGCAGGGCCACCCAGCTCCTTAAAAGGTTTGTGAAGGGCCATAAAAAAGCAACCTGCCCATGCAGCTTCTGGGATAGATTAACTCATCATATTGTAGCAACTCTGGAGAGGAAAAAAGAAGATGGCACATTAAATTTCCAGGAAAGTGTTTTAATGTGTTCAGTGTCCTAAAAGCTAAGAACAAAACAAAGTAAACTTGTAAGGGCTCTATTACATTCATTTGTACTTACTGTACTGCATAATTTTCCACTAGATATTGTGCTTTCCCCAGCTATACTAAAAGCTCCTGCGGGTCATCAACCATGTGTATTTCTTTTGTAGCTTCTAAGATGATCATCATATTGAGCATGTCGTGTATGCTCCAAGAAGTACTGTTGACTGAGTGATTACTAAGTATTTACTTTTCCCTTTGCTATTTTTCAGGAATGTTTGTTATTCACAGAATCATGGAATCTTGGAAGCCAAAAGGAAGTATCCATCTGTTGGTATACATTTTTCCTTGACTATGCATTATACAGAGATTTCCTTTGGAAATATAAACAAAGGATGCCTGATGAGCCAGGACAAAGAACTATATATAGAGATCAAGTGGCCAGAGTAGCAAGGTCAAGGCATGCCCTTCCTTAACCAGATTAAAGGGAGTCTTGATCTGCTTCTACCTCCTTCCCATGCCCCCAAAGAAATTATTTTCAACTGCCTATTTACTGAATTCTGAAAGCTGAGCAGCAACTATAACAAGCTACAATTCAGCTAATAAATCTGTGGTGATCTTAATCTCTGTTTCTGTAATAATAGGAAGACTGCAGCTTTGTTTACTTTCTGAAGAGAATAGAGAACAGGGAGAAAGAACTAGGATAGGGAGGCAGTATTTATGGCTTCTTTATGAAAAGTCAATCTGTGACAAAAACATTTGCAGACAATAAGGAAGGGAACAGGTTTGGCAGGGAAATAGCCTATTCCAGTTTTCTCAGAAGTGCCTTAGATGTGAAACCTCCACCCCCACCCAATGTAAAATGCCTGGTTTGCACTGTGAATATAGTTATTCCTTATAGACGAATCTGGATTAGTTAAAATGAAAACAAACCAAACCATCCTTAAGTGTCTGGTTCTCAAGTTTGACAGTATCCTATTATTTCATTTTATAAAGTATTTATAAGCATTTATGAAATTTCAAGTCCCTCCTTTAACTCCATTTCTAATCCTGGGGCTTGTCCTGAAGCATTTTGGACACACAGGCTTTGTGTTGAATGAATATAATAAGTAGCCTGGATTCACCCTATTATTAAGGGGAAGGTAAGGGCACAGCCCTAACCTTTCACACAGGATGATGTCATAGAGGACAGACATGGCCTTCCACAAGCTATCCCATAAGGCCCCTATCAAGGATAGAATCCTAAACTGAAAAACCCTGAAGTTAACCCAGAAAAATATACTTTCATGTTCAACATTTATTATATTATCTCACTATTCTTTCTTAGTTTTCAGTTAATGTTTTTATCCCATTGTCCATATTTATTGCATGTGGATATCCACATCAGGTTAGGCTTTTGTAGTGTAAACCCTCAGAAAGTAGACACTGCATCTGCACTGTTTTCTTTGGATCTGGTATGGTGACATGCATACAGAAGTACTAGTAAAAGGTGACTTTTTGTGTAGCCAGAACAGACAGTACATACATGATGGGATTTAACAAACATCCTTAAGAGTTTTCCTTGAATACTTACTTTGCTAGCTCATCACAGGGCTACTTTCCCCTCTTATTTTACTTATACTAGTGCCACCTCCTTAAGGCTCAGGGTGTAATGCTAACTTCAGAAAAGCACTGATAAAGCATCAACTGTTATCCAAAAGGTCAGAGTGAGTCCTCCCCTACCAAAACAATGATGAATTAATTTGGGAGGGTGGACTAGCTCCTTGCCACTTGAAAACAGTAGGGCACGGAATGTAAAGGCTTGGTTGGCAGCAAGAGCTGGGAAAGGTTGGAATAGGGCTGTGTTTGGGTAAGGCTGGTCACAGTGATAAGCTTCCCTGGGGTGAGGAGATGAAACACTAGAGAGGTGCTAACATAAATGAGCAATAGAAATAAACCACTTACTTTGCTATTTTGACTACTACTTGTCTGTGTTTAATAGTCTTTTGATTAGAATGAGAAAGGTGATAATTATAATTTCTAATCATATTTTATTCACTATTAAGTGTTACTCCACCTTCAATCATGCAAGTTCTAAACCAAAGGATCACTTATCTAGTCTCTTATTCACAATACTCCATTGTCCCTTCACCAGTGTGGATTTCTTATGCTGTAATCTAGCAGCATAATCAGAAGCTTTGAAAGAACAGAACACAGAGGGATTCTGACTAGCTGAAAAACACTCTGAACTACTATTTTGTTTCTCCCCTCTTGGAAAGGATGAGACAGTAGAGAAAAAGTACAGAATAAAGTAACCATTTACAGAATTGTGACATATGAAATCTGGAAATACACTGAAGGTTGTAGAGTCAGTTTTAACTCCGTATTTTATAGGTAAGGACGTTGAAGCTGGGAGGTTAAATTGCTTACATTTATGTGGCCAGTTAACAGAACAGCCAAGTCTAGAACCCAATTTTCCAACTCACATTCCAATTTTTTTTCTTTTATGTCTTATGCTTCTTCTCTAATCCCCTATCCTATTCTATGCTCTCACACCTAAGTTTAACCAGTACCATATATACCTACATAAAGTACCATTCTGTTCCACAGAGTGCTGCACAGGGATTAAGTTGCAATGGTATGCTCATACAAGTACACTCTACTCCAGGAAACCCAAGACTTTAAGTCCAAACAACTGGAAGATGTGGCGTTATTCATATAATAAGAGCAAGTCTTTGCTTTATAAGAAACAAAGTCTCTACAGTCTCTTAAATAGGAATACCCAGGTGGTATTATAGTAAAATATTTAACTACTTAAAATAAAATAAACTTGAACACTTAACATTCATCTGTCATACAAGTAAGATTAGAACTAGAAAATCAGGCTCTAAATAGAATCAGAAACATTCTTATCCATCATTACCCATGAGGAATCCTCTATTTTTTTATATGGCCCTATTTAGATTTTAAGGCCTATGATCAGTTCTTCAACAAAAGCAACATAAAACTAAATGATACATGGGTCTGGGTTGTGGCTCAGAGTTAAGAGTGGTTGCCTAGCATGTGTGAGGCGCTGGGTTTGATTCTCAGCACTGTATATAAATAAATGAATAAAATAAAGGACCATCAACAACAACAAAACTAAACTGATAAAGCTGAAGTTTTGTGCATGTTGTTGAGAAAGAGAAAGGAATAAAATCTTTCTTTCATGATGCTCAATAAAGAAGAAGTCAACTTCTCTTTTGAGCTATGCTCTAATATTCTATGTAGGTAACAATTTTTAAAAACCCTTACACTTGTACAGCACTTTACAATACACAGACAACCTCAATGTAGACATTGTTTGTTGATGAAAAGAATAAGAGGAAAGACGATGAGTGAGGGCCAGGTAGGGTGCATGGTATAGCTATGACCAAAGGCAGGGAATGAAGGGAGGACAGGCAAGCAGTCTTAATCATATTGTTACAGAAACAATATTACACTAATGTCCCTCACCTTAGCTCAAGGACTCAGAGTTCCCAACTTCCTTATGATACCCCAGTAAAATCTTTAGGCAGTGATAATGTCCAGTTTGGTGAAAGAAGAAGCACATTTCATCTCTGATTCTCATACTACCTGCTTTTTGGAAAGGAGAGGGATGCCCTCTTTAACTGCTATCCCCGCAAATTATCACCATTACCCATTTTTAAAAACATAGATATCTGTCACTTTTCTTCTTAGGACAAACATCCTAAAGGAATGAGACTTTCTAAAACTTCCATTCTGACCTTTGTTCCAAATGACTGAGCTATACTCTGTCAAAATACAAGTCCCAAATGATTTCCCAATCCAGGTCCTCTGAAAAAATTGCAAATATTTCTGTTACATACCTCAACCTGCTGGCAAATCTGTATTAGTTTGGCCATTTGATTTTCTAGTTCACTGTTGCGTTTAACCAGGTTGGTGAGGTTCATCTCCAGAGTTTGCTGTCATCGCAGAGAATGTGAAGCCAGAGGGAAACAGGGAAGAAGGGGGGGAAAAAGAACAATGAGACCAAGAACCAATATCATGTAGACATCATTCAATAAATAGATATTTCAGAGATTCATTGAGCACTTGCTACAGGCCAGGCCTGTTCTAGATACTAGTTAATAATGCTGTCCATCTGTTCCAGAGTGTAATTATTGGGCAAAAGACAATATTCCTCACTTTGTAGGTAGATGTAGGGATTTATTAACATTAAAAATGTAATGTTTTATAATATTATAATATTTGGAACTTTTCAAAATATCTCATAGCAAATATCTCAATTTTCCCTCATAGTAATTTTATAGCATATAAAAATTGGTAGCATCTCTTCTACCAATGAGTAAACTAAGAAAACTATAATTTATTGAATGATTACTGCTTGCCAGATTATACTCCATGCAATTTCATATATACCATTAATATATTGTAACAGTTTCACAAAGGAGATGCTAGTATTTTACTGATGAGAAAGCTGAACTTCAGAGTGAGTGTAAAGCATTTTGAAGTCATATAAGTTTGCAGTAAAGTGAGGATTGGAACCCAGATCTCTATCCCCTAGACACAGTTTTGACTCAGTACTCTAGTTTTTGTGTTTTGTTTTACTTTGTTGGTCTTCTTGTTGATGACACTATAAATTTATCTGTAGGCTCCATCAAAAAGAAATTCATAAAAAAATCAAGCATTGCATCTCACAACATTCCTTCTTTGGAACTAAGGCATCATCCACAGATATGCTCAGCTTCAAACACAAGGCCTCAACTATGTCAAGAGGACATCCGTTGCTTACCATCATTTATTAGCACATGCATTCTTTTATGTACACATTAGGAGAGTACTTTGCATATTTGTTGAAAATAAAGTAGCTAGAACAGTATTTGGAACTCCAGTATATTTTCAGTTGAGCAGGCAACTCTCTCCTATTCCTTATGTAAAGATTTGAGTGCTATTTTACTCTAGATGAATTATGGGTTTTTAAATCCTTTTCTCTCCTCAAGTCTTTATCTTTGATGGCTATTTTTCCTCCAGGACCTGTCCCAATACCTTCTCATCCAACATACCAACATACCGCAAAGTCTGTTCCAAATGTAATACACCACCTTGTTGGCCTTTGTCATGATATTATTCCTTCTCTCAGTCTTATTAACTGCTTCATTGATGTCTCTGTGGTTATTAATGGTTTCTAATTGTTCAAAGTTCGAACTTTTGAAAGAGAGGATAAGAATAACAGTGGGCAGTGAGCAGACATGGATGAAGAGAGGGGGCTTGTGTTCTTGGCCCTTTCCTATCTACTAAGTATCATAGCTCATTAAGTGGGCACTGTCCCTACGAATATATCTCAGAGGATATATTCACACAGACATATGTATTTCTAGGCTGGATATTCTGATTTCACTTGTTCTAAAGCTGGATTTTTAAAAAATATATATTTATTTTTTTAGTTGTAGTTTGACACAATACCTTTATTTATATATTTTTATGTGGTGCTGAGGATTGAACCCAGGGCCTCGCACGTGCTAGGTGAGCACTCTACCGCTGAGCCACAACCCTAGCCCTCAAACTGGATTTTGAAGACCACCTTAACCATTGCTTCCCTTCTTGCCAAGTGCCTCATTTTCTTCAGCTTTATTTCCATAAAAGTGGTTTTTCAACATTTATTACACTTTTCTTGGCTTGAGGATTTCCTCCCTGACCTTCTTTAATCCTACTAACATCTCCATCTGTGGTCTTCTTAGTAAGCACAAGGAAAGGGAAGAAGGAAAAAGGCAGAGTATTGACAATTGATTTGGGCATAATCTCTAAGCTAAATAGATACCAGATAGGGGGAAAACAGCAGTTTGGATTTTTTTAAATGGTAACTTTTTAAAATATCTTTATTTATTTTTTTATGTGGTGCTGAGGATCGAACCCAGTACCTCACAAGTGCGAGACAAGTGCTCTACCGCTGAGCTATAACCCCAGCCCCAGTTTGGATTTTTAATATAACAAAAATATATTGAGCATTTACTCTGTTCAGTACAGTGACTTCACAGATAGGACATGAAATTAAGATGGATTTTGAAGTATATGTTGGATTTTATCAGACAGATGGGAGAGGGCAGGGTGTTCCAGGCACAAGGAAAGCATGAGCAAAAGTAAAAATGAATAAAGTAGTTAGGCACTGTGGTGCATGCCTAGCTACTTGAAAGACTGAGGCAGTATGATCACCTGAGCCCAGAAATTCCAGGAAAGCCTGGATAATATAAGTAAGATCTCATCTCAAAAAGAAAGGAAAGGAAGACAGTGAAGAGGGAGGAAAGGAGGAAGAAACAGAGATATAGAGAGGAAGGAAGGGAGGGAGGGAGGGAGGGAGGGAGGTAAAGGAAAGAAAAGAAAGGTAGGAGGAAGGGATAGAGATACTGTTCAGAGAATGGTAGTTTAGATGGCTAGAACAGAGGGTACAAAGAGATTTGTAGGGGACAAGGTTGGAAATGGAGATCAAAGTCCTGTTATGAAGTGTATAGATGAATTTGTACATACATTTTTTTCCAGTATAAAGTGCTTACCAAAGGCTGTTGAGCAAGCTAATGTAATAATCAGGGTTTCATTTAAGACATTTACCTAGCAGCAGTATGTGGGGCAGACTGAAACAGGAAAGCCTTGGGGGAAGAGACACTGGTTAGAAGACTGAAATATTAGGCAGTTGCTAATGCAGGTCTGAGCCAAGCTAAGAAGATAATGAATAGAAACACATTTGAAGAAAAGATTTGTCACTGTCAAATATGCAGAGAGTACAAGAAATATGAGCATTGGTAAAAGGCAGCTAGATTCGCTAATTAGAGATCACAGATAGCCTTTGAAAAAGGAATTTCAGTAGGGTTTTTTAAACAGATGCCAAATCATAGGGTTAAAGAGTACGTCATTAGTGACATAGTAGAGGCTACAAGTCTAGACTCCTCTTCAAAAGTTTTGTTGTAAGGTAACTGTGACAGAGCTCAGTTTGGTCAAAAGATCTAACTTAAATTAGAGAGTGGGAATTGGTAATACATCCAATTGGTCAACAATTTCCTCTACAAGTGGTCTAAATTCTTAAATCAATGGAAATTCCATGTATCAACAAATGAATATATCAACCTATTAGGTAAATATAATGTGTATTGATAAATGCAGAGCAGAAACAGTATTAGAAATCTGTTTCCAACTGTGAAATATTTCCATTCAAACATAGGATTCCATGGGGAATTTTTTTTTAACAATCATAAGCGACCTGTTGCAACACTGGTCCTGAAATTGATAACTCATAAATAATTCATAGTGTAGAGCAGGACTAAGATTCCTGCTGTGTGTTCCTCATTTATGGCCCCAAACTGAGACTCACGCCTTCTCTATAAAGCCACTGAAAACAAAAATTAGAAATGAACACATAATTTTGGGTCTGGTTAGACTATGGGCCTTGGGTTACCATCACAAAATTATGGTAAATGGTTAGTTTGCTCTGACCCCCTAGCAATTTGCAGAATGCTAGTGCATTTTAACAACACCAAACTAGAAATGACAAGATGATTCTAATTTCAACCTTGCTTCATTAATATGAAAATGCTTTGAAAAATAAATCTTTGGCTAATGAAAACACCATCTGTTGATGGCTTTTTGCCACTGTTTTCTTACATTATGAGACATAATTTGAGGAAAACACCGAACATTTACTTACTCACTTCCTATTCATTTACAAAGAATTAAAGCCTCCTCTCAAATTGGAATTGATTCTCAATAATGAACATATGCAAAGGGAAGCAGAGAATTGAAGCAATTATGCAGCCTGTTTCCTCACCCTTTCCTTATCAAGCCTAGCACTGACAAATAATTTAGAACTAAAAATTCTGGGCCATTCTAGGTTTGAATGATTTGATTGATTTGGCCAACAGATTATCTTGTCTATACTCTGAGTAAACAAAGTGTGTGTGTGTGTGTGTGTGTGTGTGTGTGTGTGTGTGTATACATGTGAGTATGTGCACATGAGTGTGTATAAATTCTCTTTAGGTAAAAATAAACATGCTTTGTTGTCATTTAGTTTGAAGAATTGGTTTGTTTTGTTCTTTTCTTGTGCAGTCCTGTTAATGACTGGGCCAGGTTCCCTCTGTCTAAACTCAGTTAGTACAACTTTCTCAGAATAGTTGAACCATGACAGCAAGAGAGCCAAAGTGGCAGGGGAGATTGGAATGGAGATATCTGCTGGGAGGAAATGGGGACAGGAGGTTGGCAGGGAGAGCAGGATGAAGCTCCCATTTCCTGCTGCAGGAGGTTACCTCTGGGTCCTTTGTGCTTCCCCTTTGTGAGGGTTAGAGAAACCAATTTGTTTATGAAACTGGGAGACCCTCTTTCCCTCCAGATGTCTATATCATTCTAGCTCTTACAAAACTGTACATGTGTCTAAACAACACAAAACAAGGAGAAGATTTAGCTGGCTTGCATAATTGAGATTCAAACGGCCCAAGTTAGCTAAATTGGCAGTCTACACTGATTCCATTTTTACCCATGTTCCACTTCATTTGTGTTATATAGACAGCCTCTTTGTGCTCCATAGTACCTTTCCCAAAGATGAACATGTTTTGCCATCTGAGAAAGGTGGGCACAGGTTATTCTTCCAGAAAGCATCCATCCAATTTTAAAAAATGACTTGTCTAACCCTATCAAAACAATTGCTGGGGTTTTTTTTGTTTGTTTTTTTTTTTTTTAGCTTCTCTAGTCACAGGTTATTTCAGGTAACTTTCTTACGTGCTCCCTCAAAAAAACTTGGCCATGCATCAAAACACCAGCTCTTCATTAAAGCAAGAGATTATTGTTAGAGGACAAACTGGACTCTGATCTCCATCTGTCATACTCTATGAAGGCAGATGTATTCACACGTTTATGAGCACGCTTACATGCACCAACCTGACACAGTAAATTCTAAAGACTAAAATGGGATGCAGCCTTTCTG